GGGGAAGAGGAAGAGGCAGGTTAACAGTAGCCGCAGTCTAGAAAGGTAGGACTGAACATTGGGAAGAGGTTTTCTGCGAAACATCGGAATCTGGATAAGATTCAGGTTGTGGACTCAGTGGTCCTTGCCGCACCTGCCACCAAATGTGGAAAAAAGACGAAAGTTATGGCGGGCGTCCCTTTGGACTTTCTACCCCCCGAACATATAACCTCCATTTTGCCCATTTGGTGAGCAGTGCAGTGAGGCCCATTGTGTGGAGGGTTCAACTTGTTAATAATTTCCCAAGGTTAAATCACCAGTACTTCTGATAGTAGCGCCGCCATGCATGCACGCAGCAACGTGCTGGGATGAAAGTGCCAGTGCCACTGGCATATGTTCATTCAAGTGTGGAAACGTCTCTGCACTGTAGCAATGGCTGTAGTAATGGCTGTAGTAATGGCTGGCTGCATGCATGCCACGACTTCCAGAAGTACTGGTGGTTTAACGACCAGAGTTTAAACCACCAGTAACTGGTGGTTTAACCACCAGTACTGGTGGCTTAACCACCACAGCGTCAAACCACGAGTAACTGGTGGTATAGCCACCAGTACTGGTGGTTTAACCACCACAGGGTTAAGCCACCAGAGGGTTAAACCAACAGTAACTGGTGATACTGGTGGTTAAACCACCAGAGGGTTAAACCACCAGACGGTTAAACCACCAGTAACTGGTGGTTTAACCCAGGCCTCTAGTGGTTCCAAAGGGTAGATACGAGTTGCACCACCAGTAACAACTCGTATCCACCCTGTGGAACATAGACAGCCAAAAAGTTGTTAGTTCTGGCCTCGCCGCCGCACTCTACCTACCTACCCACCCACCCACTTCTCCCTTTCATCTGCTCGTACCGTGCTACACCATTAGACGTGGCGCAGCCGCATCTCCATACCCACCCCGTGACATCTGCAACGGTGTGGGGGGAGTGTGCGTTACTACTGCAACCGTGCAGGGGTGGGGTAGAAATTGTGTGGTGGTCCCAAAGTAACGTGGAACTCGGTGGGAACATGCAGGGGTGGGGTAGAAATTGTGTGGTGGTCCCAAAGTAACATGGTTCCACCTCGGTGGGAACACGGAGTCATGATTGGAACCGTGGTCAAGGCATCTATCTGGCTGTTGACCTCAAACCACCAGTAATACTTCCTAAAGTCGTGCCCGTTAACAAGCCATAATTTTAGGAAACGTACGGGCCACTACAGGAGCGACCAAATTCATCCGACTAGAAATGTTTCTAGTACTTTCTACTCTTATTTTTTTTCCACAGTCTATAGCTGGGCCAACAACAGCTCTGGTTCGATTCCTTGCAGCGGCTCCAAAGTGGCATGGTTCCGCTTTGGGACACACAGAGTAGTGCCATGGTCCCACTTTGGGACAGGGAGAAGTGCCATGGTTCCACTTTGGGACACACAGAGTAGTGGCATGGTTCC